TATGCTTGTGTGATATAATTAATTTTAATTGGGGTTCAGGTTAAAAATGTGTAAATTAATGTGTAATTAATTACTAACAAAAATATTATTTGTGAAAAAGTGTTTCAGAAAAAATAATAATAATTCATATTATCCGAAATTAAAATATGTTTCTTTTACATTAATATTGCAATTTAAAATTCCGTTTTTTTTGCTTAAACTCTTCCTCAAAATAATTGAAAAGTTGTTGCACTCGCTCTTTCCTTGTCCTCGCACAATTTCATTCGCTTTGTTTCTGGTAAACATTTTTTATTTTGCTCTTCTCCGGGCAATTTTACTTCCCGTTGTTTCAGAGAAAACACACATTTATAAATGTAAACATCTATAGAGACCATATATAGTATATCTACCATATAGCACGCAAAGTGAAGGCGTGTCATGGATTTTAAATGAGACATGGAAAAGATATCGTCTGCTGGCTGTCAGCTTTTAATTAATGTTTTTTAATAAAACCGAAAATGGCAAGACAACAAAAACTGTATAACGATATGGGACAGGAAGAAAGTTGTGGCTTTGTAAAAAAAAAAGTCTTGGAGAATATGAGAATGCAAAAAGAAACCACAAAATATGCCCAACCTGTTGCTCTAGTTTACTATCAAATTGGAGCAAATCCAATTGTAATTCAGTGCACATTCCGCAGCAACAAGTGAATTACATTGCAACTGCAATTGAAACTTGCAAAAACACAAAAAAAAAAAACTGCAACTAAAACCAAGTGAAAGTGCAGACACAAAGCAATTAAAGCCACCAACCATTGCCATAATGAATGCAAAAAATGAAACAAAAGAAAATAATCCACAAACAAATGGGAAAAAAGCTTTAAAATTTCCAGAGAAATTGCCACAAATTCCCGAATTAACTAAAAACAATAAAGCCACAAAAAAAGATAAAACTTTTCAGAGTAAAAATTTTATTACCTACTGTTGCTTTCAAACTGTAATGGCGCCATCTAGTAAAGTGCTAATTTACAAGCTGCCAACACCTACAGTTTGAATCTGAAAATGGAAATTGCTTTTCCCCAGCCCAAGTGCACTCTCTCTCTCTTTCTCCCGCTCGCTTACTTTGTGGCTACACTGCAAAAAATAACAGAATTTTATAACGGAAACATGTTTTTTAAAAAGCCCTGCAAGTATATTAAAAGGTTATAAGGTTCTCCAAGAACAAAACTAAGCTTTATATTTAGATAGTTTAACATGATTTTATTTTGAATATTTTTATCGCTGTGTAAGAGCTAGCTTTCAAGTCGTTAGAGGCGGCAGACTGGCTAAACTGGCTCTTAGATTCGATCCAGACAGATAAGGGAAGACAAGACAAGAGACTCTCATGGGTAGCAGATGACAGCTGCCTGAGCTTTTTGACATGATCTACGAAAGATCGGGTTTTTAACTGCTGGCGGGGAAATTGAGCAATTTCCCGATGCATTTAACTAAATGTTTACGATATGATAAGACTTGAGTGACAATTTCCGTCGCAAAAAATATTAATGGAAATAATCTTTAACTCATATTTATTTTGGCCATTTATTATTTTTATTTACTAACATTTTTTTATTCCTCACTAACCTTACCCAACGTCTTAAAGTATAGCTTTTGCGAATATTCGCACACTTTTTAGACATAAAAAATCCCATTATATCATCATAAGCTCAATTGAAAAATTACCTGACCAAAAAAATTTAATTCGCGCTTGCCCCCACAAGTTGGGAATTACGTAATTTTAAGCTATTATGCTATTGTCTTCAAGTGAATGCCCCTTCACAGAAACCCACAACATCCGTTTGAGTTTGGAGCTTCTCGAAACAGTCAAGATCTTGAAGATTCAAAACCAAAATCAAATTGTTTCGCCCGTGCTACTGATTTTTCTAATGTTTCTTTTTGCCTATTGTGTGTTCTTTATCCAGCCTCGTGCCTCGTGTCGAATCAATAATTTAATTGACCCACTTTGACTGAAGTCGAGCAATAACATTTCGAGGGTTACGTACGTACATATTTGGAGGCTAATTGCCCGAAGTTATAGTTGGCCAAAAGTTTAGCCAAAGCAATGGCAACATTGAAAATAGAAGAAAAAGTAAGCGCATAACAAAATTGGGTCGAAACTAGGTTGAATACGTCTGCACTGAAAGCGTTAGAAACTTTTTGGTGGCCAATAAAATAGAACAAAGTGCTGCCAAAACTGTGCTTAAAGATAAGTTTAGCGAGCAACAGTTTTAGAAATTTAAAAGTTTTTTATTACTTATTTACAACCTTGAAATGTGAATTTAAATGAATTCCAAATCTGACCTAAAGAGAACCTTAGAAGTCAAAAGCTTCTTAACAGCTGTTTTTAAGTAATTTTCTTATCAGCTATTTAATAAAACCATATTTCAAGTGCTGAACTTAATCTTATCACTAATGTTGTGCTCAAATTATATTCAACTTAGTAACTAAACAATAGCTTCTTCTCTTCGAGTGAATCATAAAATCTGTAAAGCTACGAGTTGAGGGTTGTTCGGGGATTATAATAATTTGACATTTGCCAAGTGCCTTATTCAGTTTTTAAGAGTCTCTAATTTATCTGATTGATTGCCGCTTGGCTTCGATGATTCTTGATTGGTGACCATGAATCACAGAAGTTGGTCAAAAATTGTCAGAAGAAATACTACTTCTATTGGTTATTGGTTACAAAAGGGAAGATAATAACACCTTCATGAATTTATAATTCTGTCTTGCAACACTGCTTACAAATTTTAGCAGTTATGCTTTTTATAGATTAAATAAAAACTTTTCTCTTTGACCTTTTTCTGACACACCCAAAACGACCTTGAACTTGACAGGGCCAAAATGTCGAACCGGCATCTATAAATATGTAACAGACCTCCATTCCATTATTCTTTTTTCAGGGCGAATAAAATCAATAAGCTGATGCTGTAATCTCTCTGCATCGAAATAAAATAAAATTTCCCCATTTATCGGGGTCGGCATTTCTAATTTATCAACAGGTTGACTCATAGTAGACGTGCAAACGGGTTCCCTCAGCTTCTGCTCTCTTCTTCCCATCGTCATCATCAAGTTTCCAAGTAAGTGCAAACAACAAAAATCATAATAAAAGTTTTTATTCCGTGGGGATGAGTCAGTTTTTGGCCAGACAAGAGAAATTTTTCCGGCTTTTTTTTTGTGCCCAGTCCTTGAACTCTATAAGGCGAAACAAAATTACTAATGGAAATAAGAAAAACGCTGAAGGTAAGCGGCGTATTTTTTTGCGCTTGGGTTCATTCACATTAAGTTTGGACAACTTTTTCGGTGGCATGTGTGTAGGTTGTCCCCTATATTTTGGCATTGTCTTTGTTTCGCTTTTGGTGATGACTGTACTTGACTTTGAAACATGATCGGGTTTTAGTTCTTCACACGAAATTCAGGGACAAAAGATTGTATCCCCCATTTTAATCACTGTCCATGCAAAAATCTTATCTATCTACTATGGATTTGATTCTGCATTATTTGCGATTACTCACGGGAAACAACAAAAACAAGTGACGCAAATTCTAGCGGAAACAACGTAATAAACACCAAAACAATTGCACAAAGTATATCAAAAAGCGCATAAACGCCAAAAATAAACTGGAATTTCCAAATATATACTACTTTTTCACCCCATTCAAGTGTCAACTGCGATTATCCAAAAACACGGAAATAAATAAAATAGCGTACATATATTTGAATGCAAATAACAATTCTTATTTAGTTTCTAGTATTGTTTTTCTTTCTAGGTTTTGTGTGGAATTAAGGAGAAAGGAAAATAAACACAAATGAAGCGTTTCGAGTACGAATTTATAACTGTTTATATTGGCAAATTAGCAAAAATGTGCGCAATTCAATGAAATTGGGGTAAGGAGCTAATTAAATTTGTATCCCAATTTTCTGGTTATTCTTTCATAAATGTCCAGCTGACAATGACTCTTAAACTGTGGCTTTAATGCAGGCTTGTGAAATCAAAGAGTCTTGAATTTCAACATTTAACGTGCCCACACACACACTAACAGGAATTGAAAAACATTGGGCGGCAAACAGAAAGTAAAACCAGTTTCCAACAAGAACTAAACAAAGCGCACCTAGCAACAACAAAGGCCAAACAGTAGAACCTGGCTAACTGAAAAATGCTAAATATTCTTTAATTTTATTTTAATGAAATTTTAATTTAAAATGATTTTATATATATTCCAAGTAAATTTTTAAATTCGGAGGTTATTTAAATTCTTTTGTGAAAACCCTAAAAAAAAATGGTATATACAAAGCCTTAGACATTTTAGATATGTAGGTAGATCCGATTTAATTTTTTGACTTAAGGAATATTCACTGTAAGTGCAGGGCGTGTGCGTTGGCGTCGCTGACGTTGTGTATCTTTGTTTTCTATATTTATTTGCTACGTTTGGCTGCTGCCCATGACCATGTCCAATGGGCGAGACAAGGAGGGGAAATGCGGGAGGGGGCGAGAGTGGGACAGGGGCAGAGAGACCCCGGGCAATAGATTACATAAAACAGCAATGCAAACACATACTTTAACACCTTGCTGTTATCGTACAGTTTGGGATTGACTGTAATTGTATGGTTTTGAATATAAAAATAAACAAAACAAAACCATTCCAATTAGAATGCATAAAACTGATTGGATAAAAGGGATTTTAGTCAAAAAAAAATTTAATTTAATATGGATTTGGAACTTTACATTTTTTTGTAATCAGTTGCTTATCTTATCAAAAACAAATTTGGCTTATGACTTTTTACAAATTAACTGCGCATAAACTAAGTTTTAGGGGATTTTTGTAAATACGTTTGTGGATTTTACACCCAAATTGTCTGGTTTTTATTATAATCTTACGATCTTTTATCTATAAACATAGCTACAGTTTGAGAGACACATTTTCAGGTGTGCTGTTATCGTTGGTTTTGGAGTGACTGTAGAGATTCGCCTGTTTTTTTACTTACGTTGCCGCGTCCTTGGGCACAATTTCCTCTGCCGCTGCGACGTTGGCGTCGACGCCCGGCTGCTCCACCGTTAATTCAACGTCCATCTCGGAATTCGATGAGGTTTCCTCGCGTTCGCTATCGCTAATCTCGATGACTTCGTCGTCCATGCGTGGCAATTTCTAAGCAGAAACAACAACAGCGACCAGAATCCAGTGCTTGCCAAACGTTGTTATTTGTCAATTCCCTTTTTTTCACTGTTTTTCGCTTTTGCGTCAGTGGCGAGCACGCGTGTGTTTGTGCCTGTGTGTGTGTCGCACGCGCGCAGAGATAAAAAGTTCCCGAACTTCTGGTGCTTTCTTTTGGACCGCTTGCTGTTGACTACTCTTCCGCCCCTGCCTCCGACTCAATTTAATTGCACGTTGCCTGGCTAATAGGTTGGTAATTTTGAAATTTATATTTCGAATAGCCAAACGACGGATCGCCCGAAAGCAGACGGAAAAAAGCGTGCGATAATTAGGGATGTCAAAAATATATCAAAATATCAATATATCGATATTTTTGCAAAAAAATATATTTATATCGTGATATTTATTTAGCCAAATATCACAATATCGATATTTTATTTTTCGATATTATTTGATATTTGCATATCTTTCTCTCATCTGTGCACACAAAAAATGAAGCGTGTTAAAATGTATTTCGGTGAAATTAATAAAAACAAACTAAGTGAAAACTTTGTTTGAAAACTATTAAAACAAGTGGGAATACATCAAATATGTTATCCCACTTGAAAAACAAACACTTTTATGTGTGGGACTAATAAAATAAGAAATTCAATAAAACGTATTATATTGTTTATACTTTTCTAGTGCTTTTACATTAATTTTAGGGAAAAAGTTGTTAGTTTGTTGTTAGCCTTTTTACGCGGCTAAAATTTTGAAATTCAACTGAAAAAAAATATCAAATGTATCTGATATATCGATGTTTTTTTTGGCGATATATGTATGTATGTATCATATTGATATTTTTCTTAAAGAAAATATATCAGCGATACGATATTTTTAAAATATTTGACATTCCTAGCGATAATTCGCCGAATTGGGGATGTGAAAAAATATCAAAGTATCAGCACATCGATATGTTTGAATAAAAATAAATATTTATATCGTGGACATCGGTGGTTGGTTTTTGTCTTCGCTGTTTCGGGCCAGTTAACATTGAGTGAGTGCAAATTTAACAGTGCGCAAGAACTGGATTTGAAAGTTAACAGTGCGCAAGAACTGGAGTGGAAACATTACCTTTATTATCGATGTTTTATCGGTGTGTGGCTGCGGTGGAAAGTGTCTCCGCTGTGGCAGAATGGTGTCTTCGCTAGGCGCTTGTTTTGATTGACAACGCCAATCAGCTGATCTTCAAGCGGCGTTGCAGTTTAATTCCAAGAATTCAACAGCTGATCTAATATTCTGCGCAATTGCACTCATTGCATTTATTAAAGTGTTGTTTTCCCGCTGCGAATGCACTTCAACATTGTTAAAAGTGTAAAGCAATAGCTTCCTTCGATCTACTAAACTGATTTTCAATTTCTTATTGAGTTCGTGTCAAACCTGTGTTAAAAGAGCGATTGAGCGGATTCTGTGTATAACGCAAAAGGTATTATTATGTTGTGTATTTACATATATATTTTGAAAATAGGCCAAAACTTTTTAAAAAATGTGTTTAATTCTTTGCTTTAGAAATAATATAACTGTCTGTGTAAATACATATGTAGATTATAATTGGCTTGAGCCTGCACACAAAAAAATTTGCTTGGTAAAATTGACCAACAAAGATAGTTACGTAACTATTAAAATAGTTACGTGTATTTTGTTTTTGCTTTGGGTTTGTGTCTTTGCTAATTGTGTGTATTTTGTTGTTGTGAAATGACAATTTACTTAGTAGAATTGACAATTTTACTGGTTGGGGCCTGTTTGACAATTATTACAGTTGATTTTACCAAGTTTTTTTTTTGTGTGTGGCTTATAAAGTTTTGCTAAAAGTTTAGTCTCGAAAGAGGACTGAAAAAAATTTGTTGGTGGAAAAGTTTGGAAAAACCTCTAGATACCGGATCGTAAATAATGAATATTAAAATATAATACAGCTCCTGAAATATAGTCTACTGATTTTTGATCAATGATTAGAAGGCGTTCGCAACGGAAATTTCGTTTCAGCAAGGAAAAACTTGAAGTTTGATTTTCTGCTTACTTAAGTGATCCTCTTTAAAATTCCTAATTTACAGATAAGCATTGAAAATGGACAATAATGGAGAGTTTCTGCTCAACGGAGACTGCGTCTTGGAGATAATGCAATACGTAATTGAAAATTGCGAGACTAAGCCCAAAAGCTATAGTGATTTAAAAAACTTTGTGCTGGCCCATGAATTTTTCGTTCGATTGTTTGAGGATCACCACAAACGCCTTTACGAGGATCTTGAGTTGGAACTTGTGTGTAGAATAACAAAGCTGGTGATAGATCATCGAGTTAATAAAAAATCAAAAGAAGAAAATACATTTTTCTGGAGATCCTTCCTACAATCAATCAGGGGAAAAAATCCGATTAATGGTGAACTGTATTTTTACCGTGATTGCGTAACCATTTTTATAAAAGGTAAGTCATTTACTTCATATACTATGGTGTAAACTAACATAATTTAAAAATCTTTTTTATTTTAAGGTAAAAAAGAGGTCTGCGGAAAAGAAGAGACGTTAGATTTATACTTTAAGATTTCTGCAGAAGAATTAGATGACATATTCCGCTCAAATGAATATTTGACAACGCTGTCCCTTGAAGGCCTAGAAATCATCTATACCGAAGTTGTACCCCATTGTAGTAATCTCCAGGAATTGAGAATTAATCTAACAGCGCTAGATGATTCAGTCCAATTTGCAGAGTTGGCAAAGTGGCCCAATTTAAAGGAAGTTTTTATTGATAACTTGTACGATTTCGGTTTGGAAACGATGTTTTTTAATGATTTACCAAAATGGTGCAGGCCCAAGAGTCTCGGACCTTTGAAACTGACCATCGAAGGTTCTCTAAACGATATAAAGCTACCTCTTATATATGCGAATTTTGACTCATTACTAAGTTTGCGCACTTACAAACCCTTCCACTTCTCCAATAACTTCCACATTTTGACATGTAGTGAAGCAATTAAAGCAGAGTACGATATATCTGAAATGTCGGAATGCAGCAATTCATTAGAGAAGTCTCTCGTATCCATAACTTTGGGCGAATATGTGATAGTTAGGTTCGACAGGAGTAAAGAAGAACTTGAGTTAAAGATTCGTGAGAAGTCGGACGTAAGTCAAATGGGTAATTTATCGAAGCTGCCCAATGTAAGTCGTTTGATCATACAAAATAAATGCCGTCGTAGTGATTATCCCGAATCTCTTGCAAAATTCCTTCAATCCATGGCTCCAAAAGGAGCATTTGCTTTAAAATCTTGCACAATTAATTACGGAACAATCGGTGAACGAGAATGCACAGAACTTGCAAAAATAGAATCACTGCGATATCTAGGGTGTCAGATATCCGAGTGGAACTTGATCAAGAGTTTAAGCCAAATACCTAACCTCCAACACGTAATGATTCAAGTCCGAGAAGGTATTAATTCCGATACCTCAATGATGATTTTCAATTTACTAACAGCGTGCCAAAAGAAAGCTTCAATAATTGGGGACAAATTTTTTATAACATTTGGAAAATGTGAAAAGAGGTTACTAATTCGCTTTTTTAATTTTCCTCACAATGATAATTCTGATGTCAATGTTCCGATATCTTTGGCGCAACTTGAAGGCGTTAGAACCCTTCAGGTCCTAGGACTCCCCAGTGCTCCATCCCTAAATCCATTTTTAAATGCATTCCCAGGAAATATAAGCTCGATCCAAGAATTAGATTTATCCGAAATGTACGATAATCGTACAAAAGTGCGCTTCGAAGATATCTCGAAAGTGACAGAAGTTCAATCTATTAGGATACTAAAGTGCTGTCTATCAGACATAACTGGCATTGAGAAATTGGCCGACATGAATAAACTGGAGGAGTTGCAAATATACTATTCTGGAGAAGGAAACCTTTCCCAACTTTTCAAGGACCTGGCTGAGAAAAATATAATTCAATGTATTCGCACTCAAGAATTGAATTCCGAAGAAGTGTTAAATGTTTCCCGAATAAGGTCGTTGAAAAAACTGGAGTGTGAGTTTACCGACCCAGAAGATCTTCCTTCCTTGTCAGAATTAGCTAACTCGAGTATTGAGGAATTAAAGTTCAGTGTACCAGAATCAAGTCATTCTCAACAGAAAGTTTTGGCTTTATTTTCCTCAAATTGTAAAACTAGACTTCAGCACCTAAATGTGTGCAATCTTGACATGACTAAAAATTCTGAGATTACACAAATTAAAGGTCTAAAAAGTCTAGTTTTTCAAAATAATACATTCAACATTTTGGAGCTTAAATCAATGCCCAATCTTCAGAAATTGGAAATAGATTACAAAATTGGCTTTGACGAATGTAAGAACATTGCTGAACTTAAAAGTTTGGAGTCCTTACGTTGTTCTTTGCTTGATGAGCCGGGCATTCAAGTTTTAGCAAATATTAGAAATCTTAAAAAATTAAATATAAATAGTGATTCATATAGTGATTCGCTAAGTGAACTTTTTCGCGCTTTTGCCCATCGAAGCGATTCAAAGCTAATGGAACTCCACACACCAATTAGATGCTCTGATGAAATCCACGAAATATCGCAAATTAAAACATTAGAAACACTAAGCCTCGATTACAAAATCATATGTGACAATTTATCAGATCTTGGCCAACTAAAAGAACTTAAATCATTGAGTATTTTATCACTACGTTATAAATATGCCAGGTATCATTATCATGCGCCTATAGATAGTAACAGCATTCTGGTGATTATTCAAACTTGTCAAAAACTCGATGGCGTCACATTAGATTTCACTCAAAGCGCTAAAGTGTCTACAAACTTTGTGAGGGATATTAACGCAATTTTGAAATCTGTACGGAATCGAGCTCTCCAGAGACCATTAAATCTAAACCTGATTCAGGAAAGCTATTTCCCAAAATTCCATGTAAGTAGTTATAATAAAACCAAAACGTTATGTAAAATGTACAATTTTTTTCATGCAGTTAGAAGCCACCGATGACGATTACTTAAACATCTCCTATTCTTATATAACATCTGAAATCAGTTATAAGCCAGAATTCTTTGACGACGGTCCGGAATCTGGCGACATTGACAAAGTTGATGAGTATTGAGGATAACAAAGGAAGTTTCAAATGTTAAATAACAATACTATATCTAATAGTTTTAAATTTTATATATGGGCACTTCCAAAATGTCGCTCGGGACATTTGCACACCTTTAAAGTTGAAAAAAAATTATAAAACAATGGATTTAAATTTTAATTATCGGCTTTTCCTTTCACTCTTCCCAAGCTCTATTTTTGGTAAAAATCTTGATTTTGTACCACTTTTAGTTTTTAAGATATCGGTAAAAAACTGCCGTATTCGCTCGGGACAAAAATAGAAGTGGATTTCGGGGAAGTTCAAACAACACCAAAAATTAGCTAATTCTGATGGAATATTTGAATGCGATTTTTTTAAGAATGTCGTTCAAACATGTCGCTGTGAAATGCTTTTGGTTTTACTCAAAAATTCTTTGCCGTTTTTTTTTATGCAGTTTCAACCACATTCGCTCGGGACATGTCGCTCGGGACATTTTTTCCGACTGTTTTGTAAAGCGGATTTCTTTACCTCTATCCCTCAATTGCTGGATGTTTTGCTTTTAACTTAATAGTTTAGCATGTGAATGAAGCATTTAGTACAGAAAAATGTCACATATTAGCATTTCTATAGGATAAATTTACAACAGAAGATAGGTCCAAAAAATAACAAAAAAATAGCCAAAAAGTGATTTTTGCGTATATTGGTGGGGTTTGTCATAAAAATAATCAAACTGTACTCCAAATTTTTAGTTAAGCTCAGTATCCAACTAATTAGAAACTAATATCGGGGCAAAATCATGTGGAAATATGTTTTATTCAAGTTTCAAGGTTTTTGGCTTGGTGGACTTTTTTTTGGAAGTGCCCATATATTTCTTACTTCAGATTAACTAATGAATATTATACATAATTGACTTGTATATTTTACTTTAAGAGAAAACGAACTATAATTTTGATTTTCCCATTTAAAGCATCTTAGATACATAAGTCAAAAAATCTTTGAAGATTGCAGTTCACAAAATATGTTCACACTTCTTATTAAAATGCCCAGTTTTCGAATTCATCATTTAAACCGTTTTAGTTTCTTGTTTTTGAAAATTTTGCACATATGGCGTATGATTATTTTTATTAAGTATACGCACAGTTGAAACAACCACCATTCGGTCCCGACGGACATGGCTAGATCGACTCGTTTACTGATCGTGATCAAGAATTTCTAGAGTCGGAAACTTTTCCCCGAATACATATACCCTTTTACACTACAAGTACAGGGTATAAAAACAAAAGGGCATAAATAAAAAAAAACAATTTGCTACCTAACTCGGCTAAGGAGAGTGTACCCGCTGTGGCAGGAGGGTGTCTTCGCTAGGCGCCTGTTTAATCTGAAGATATGGCAGCGCCAGTATGCAGGATCAGCTGATCTTCAAGCGGCGTTTTAGTCTAACCAAAGGAATTCAACATAATATTCTGCGTAGTTTTACTTATTTCACTTGTTAAAGTGTTGTTTTCCCAAATTTAAAAGTGTAAGCAAATAGTTTCCTACTGTCTACCATTCAGATTGCCGAGCCGCTGATAAGAAAGCCAGTAAACGGAGTCCGGCTAGGACGCAAAAGGTATTATTATGTTGAAATACTTACATATGTCCATATGTATTTACATTAATTTTCGAAAGAGTCCAAAACTTTTTAAAATATACGTTGTTGTATTAATGTTATCTTTTACAATTCCTTGTTTTATAAATAATATAACTTAATGTCTGTCAGAAGTAAAAGACACCCTTTCGGTGCCTATAAAGTATGTTACATATACATATATATGTACTTATGCACATTGGGGCGGTCCCAAAAATGAAATCTTATTTTTACCGCTTTACAGGAAAGATGACTGTTTGCAAAAACTTTATTCGAAAACTACAAAATTTTATGTTTTGACATTTATATTACCTAAGTTACCTGTACGGTCTTAATATTTAACTTAACTTAATAAATATTAGGTTTCGATACATTTGGTCTTTTCAATTTTTTAAAGACTAGAAATCCGAATTTGATTTTATAATAACCTAACGAGCTGCAACGATACTCGAGGCACTCTACAATATATTCCATTCAGTTCTCCTGATTTTACTGATTTGTACAGCTAATAATAATTGTAAGGCGTTCGCGCCTATATGAATATCCATAACGGAAATACTGTTTCAACAACTAAAAGCAAGAAATTCGATTTTCTGCTTATTTAAGTGAATGTGAACATCCTCTTAAAAATTCATAATTTGCAGATCAGCATAAAAAATGGTCGAGAATGGAGAGTTTCTGCTTAACGGCGATTGTGTTTTGGAGATAATGAATTACGTAATTGCTAATTGCAAGGCTAAACCCAAAAGTCACAAACAAGATTCTAATGATTATGATGACTTAATAAACTTTTTATTGGCCCATGAACTTTTCGTCGAATTGCTCGAGGATCATCACAAACGCCTTTACGAGGATCTTAAGTTGGCAATTGTGTGTAGGATAACAAAGCTGCTTATCGATCTTCGAGTCAATAAACAATCAAACGAAGAAAATACATTTTTCTGGAGATCCTATCTACAATCAATCAATAAAAGAAGTCCTTTCAATAGTGAACTGTCTTATCACCCCCCTTACGTACACATTTTGATAAAAGGTAAGTCCTTAAATTCATATTTCATAGTGTGAACAAACTCAGCTTAAACGTCTTTTTTTATTTTAAGGGAAATCAGTGGTCGCCGAAAAAACCGAGACGTTAAAGATAAACGTCAACATTTCTGCAGAATCATTAGCTGACATATTCCGATCAAATAAATTTTTGACAACGTTGGCCCTTGAAGGCCTGGAACTCCTTGGAAACCTTTCCGATGTCATACCCCATTGTGGAAATCTGGAGAATCTGAAAATTAAGCTAACATCGGGAGACTCAGCTGATCAATTGTCACCGTTGGCAAATATGCCCAATTTAAAACAGGTTTTTATTACTGGCTTGTACGAATACGGTTTGGAAACGATATTTTTTAATGATCTAAGAAAATGGGACAGACCCAACAGCCTTCGACCTTTGACATTAACTATCGAAGATTGTCTAACCGATAGAAATCGGCCTGTTACGTTTGCGACTTTTCCCTCATTACGAAATTTGCGCATTCACGAACCCTATGAGTATAATCCTTATGGTGATATAAAATGGAGTTCATTAATTAAAGCAGAGTACGATATATCTGAAATGTCGGAAGACAGCCCTTCAATACAGAAACCTCTAGCGTCCATAACTTTGGGTAAATATGTGAGAATTAAGTTTGATAGGAGTAAAAAAGAACTTGAGGTAAAAATACGTCAGGAGTCGGACATAAGCCAAATGGCTGACTTATCAAAGCTGCCGAATCTAAGTCGTTTGATCATACAAAATAAATGTCGTTGGAGTGATTATCCCGACTCACTTACAAAATTCCTTAAATCCATGGCCCCGAAAGAGGCTTTTGCTTTAAAATCTTGCAAAATTAACTATGGATCAATCGATGAACGAGAATGCACAGAGCTTGCAAAAATAGAATCACTTCGATATCTAGGGTGCCATTTGTCCAAATGGAATTTGATCAAGACTTTAAGCCAATTACCTAACCTCCAACACGTGATGATTCAAGTACGGGAGAGTATTAATTCCGATACCTCAATGATGATTTTCAATTTACTAACAGCGTGTAAAAAGCAAGCTTCAATAGTTGGAGAAATATTTATTACAACATTTAGAAAAAATAATAAGAATTTACAGATTCGTTTTGATGATTGTTCTTATCACTATCATTATGCCGATATTCCGATATCTTTGGCGCAACTTGAAGGCGTTAGAACCCTTCAGGTCCTAGGGCTTCCCAGAGCTGCATCCCTAAATCAATTTTTAAATGCACTCCCAGGAAATATAAGTTCGATCCAAGAATTAGATTTATCCGAAATGTACGATAATCGTACAAAAGTGCGTTTTGAAGATATATCGAAAGTAATAGAAGTTCAATCTTTAAGGATACTAAAGTGCTGTCTATCAGACATAACTGGTATTGAGAAATTGGCCGACATGAATAAACTGGAGGAGTTGCAAATATACTATTCTGGAAAAGAAAACCTTTCCCAACTTTTTAAGAAACTGGCTGAGAAAAATATAATTCAATGTATCCGCTCTCGAGAATTGAATTCCGAAGAGGTGTTAAATGTTTCCCGAATAAGGTCGTTGAAAAAACCGATCCAGAAGATCTTCCTTCCTTGTCAGAATTAGCTAACTCGAGTATTGAGGAATTGAAGTTCAGTGTACCAGAATCAAGTCATGCTCAACAGAAAGTTTTAGCTTCGTTTTCCTTAAATTGCCAAACTAGACTTCAGCACCTAGATGTGGGCAATCTTGACATGACTGAAAATTCAGAGATCACACAAATTAAAGGTCTAAAAAGTTTAACTTTTTACAGACAATCCTTGAACGTTTTGGAGCTTAAAACAATGCCCAATCTTCAAAATTTAGAAATAAAGTACAAAATTGGCTGTGACGAATGTAAATACATTGCTGAACTTGAAAATTTGGAGTCTTTAACTTGTTCTTTGTCCAATGAGCCGGGTATACAAGTTTTAGCAGATATCATAAATCTTAAGAAATTAATTATCAGTGATTCAAAGGGTTCGCTAACTGAAGTTTTTCGCGCTTTTGCCCACCAAAGGGAGTCAAAGTTACACGAACTCCATACACCGATTATTTGTTCTGGTGAGATCCACGAAATATCGCAAATTAAATCATTAGAAACACTAAATCTCGATTACAAACTCATATGTAATAACTTATCAGATCTTGGACAACTAAACGAGCTTAAATCATTGACTATTTCTGAACATAGTATTCACGGAAAATCATTTCGTTTCAATGATATATTTGATAAATGCAGAATAGATAGTACATGCGTGCTTCGGATTTTTCAAACTTGTCGAAACCTCGATGGCGTCACATTGGATTTTGGTTTTAAAGGTGGAGTGCTGATAAACTTTGTAAGCGAAGTTAACGCCATTTTAAAATCTGTAAGGAATCCAGTACTCCAGAGACCATTAAAACTTAATTTAATTCAGCAAAGCGATTTTCCTAAATTTCACGTAAGTAATGCAATTACTAACAAATTATTATTTAAAATCAAAAATGTTTTTCCTGCAGGTAGAAGCTACTGATGACGCTTACTTGGACATCTCCTATTCTTATGAAACACATGATCAGACTTATGAAGCCAATTTCTTTTCCGATGGTCCAGAATCCGATGACAGTGACTGTTTTGATTACCCTCAGTTCTGACAAAAAAATATAAAATAGAGGTTAAAAGAAGACCTCATTTTATATTTTATATTTACCTTAAAGATAACATGTTTAACATGTACTACATCTATATTTCTTACCTCAAATAATAATGATTATAATTTTACCTAGTTGAAGAGAAAACTAAGAAATTCTATTTATAATTTTGTTTTCCTCATTTAAAAAGTGGTGTTGTTCTTGGTGGTGGCTATTGGCATTGGCGAATGAAATTGAAACATTTACCTCTATGGATGCCATTAAATTGTATAATTTAAATCCCATACTCAAAAAATTTGTACGATTTTTTAGGCAGTTTTTTGTTTTTATTTTACATGGCTAGATCGTATCTTGTGTATGTTAGGAGAGTGTACTCGCTATGCGTATGTTTAATCGAAAGAGGTGGCAACGCAAATATTCCTGATCAGCTGATCTTCAAGCGGCGTTACAGTTTAACTGCCGGAATTGAATCTTATATTCTTCAGTTTCTGTTTTTGATTTGAGCGAAGTGCTTTTTTTTCACTTATTAAATGGTTGATTTCGTGATAAAACAATAGTTTTCTTCTGTAAACCATTCCGATTTCCAATTTTTGTGTGAGTTGGTGTCAAAGTCGGTGATAAAGAAACGAACACACAGAGAGAATTACTTTGAGTTGAAAATGTTCTTGAAAGTAGAACGATATTTTTTAAGTTACTTGGTCAAATCAGTCATCTAAATTTATAAAACTTTGTTCTTAAATTGATCTCATAACGTGCTTACACGGCTTTCAAGAACGAATGATCCCTTGCTTACACGAAAAAATGTGGTTTTAAGAACGAGTGTTCTCAATTTTACTTACATTTTTCTGTCTATGTATGTATGTAATTATATTTTTTGAATATAGTATGTATGTATGTATATTCTTTATCAACATCATAAGCCATCATAAAGCCATGTCCATGAGGTCCGATTCTGAGCAAACGAATCGCTCGGTTCTAAATCTACTTTTTAATCGCCAATTCCCCAGGGTACATAAAGAACTTCGCTTTTAATGATTATTCATGCATCATACAAAATACTGATATATTTTATTGACGATTGAGTGACAAACGAGGTCTTTTTATTAACAAAAATGTTTAACACCCAAAACTTTCGAAATTTAATTCCGGTCCAGTACCCTAAAGTTGAGTATTACATTTCTTCAGATTTTACTGATTTTTGACTGCTAACAGTAATTTTAGGGCTTTCGCGCCCACTTAAACTTCCATAACGGAAATACTGATTCTACAACTAAAAGCTAAACATTTGATTTTCAGCTTATTTAAGTGACAGTAAAAATCCTTTTAAAAATTCATAATTTACAGATTAGCATAAAAAATGGAAGAGAACACAGAACTTCCGCTCAACGGCAACTGTCTTTTGGAGATAATGAATTACGTAATTGCAAATTGCAAGGCTAAACATAAAAGTGACCAACAGGATACTACTGATTATGATGACTTATTAAATTTTGTGTGTGCCCATGAATTTTTCGTCAAATTGCTTGAGGATCATCACAAACGTCTTTATGAGGATCTTCAGTTGGCACTTGCATGTAGGATAACAAAGCTGCTTATCGATCTTCGAGTCAACGAGCAATCAAACGAAGAAATTATGTTTTTCTGGAGATCCTACCTACAATCAATCAATAAAATAAGTCCTTTCAATGGTGAACTTTCTTTTTACTACGATTACGTAACCATTTTGATAAAAGGTAAGTCATTTACTACATATACCTACTATTGTATCTACTATTGTAATCTTACTTAAAAACGTTATATATTTTCAGGCAATTCACCGGGCCCAGAAAAGAAAGAGAAATTAAAATTAAATATTAACATTTCTTCAGAAGCGTTACATGATATATTCCTCTCAAATGAAAATCTGACAGCATTGGCCTTTGAAGGCGTAAAAGTTCTTGGAAACCTTTCCGATGCTATACCGCATTGTGGTAATCTCGAGGAACTAAGAATTAAGCTAACAGCGGGAGACGTTCCAGACCAATTTGCATCGTTGGCAAAGAAGCCCAATTTAAAGCAAGTTTTTATAACTGGCTTGTACGAATACGGTTTGGAAACGATATTTTTTAATGATTTAAGAAAGTGGGATAGGCCCAACAGCCTTAGACCTTTGACATTGACCATCGAGGATTGTCTAACCGATATAAATCGGCCTGTTACGTTTGCGACTTTTCACTCATTACGAAATTTGCGCATTTACGAACCCTATGAGTATGATCCTTTTGTTAATATAGATTGGAGTTCACTAATTAAAGCAGAGTACGATATATCTGAAATGTCGGAAGACAGCAATTCAATACAACAATCTCAAGTATCCATAACTTTGGGTAACCATGTGAGAATTAAGTTTGATAGAAGTAAGGAAGAACTTGAGGTAAAGATCCGTGCGGAGTCGGACCTAAGCCAAATGGGTAATTTATCGAAGCTTCCCAATCTAAGTCGATTGATCATACAAAATAAACGTGATTGGAGTGATTATCCTGGGTCACTTGCAAAATTTCTTCAATCCATGGCCCCTAAAGGAACTTTTGCTTTAAAATCTTGCAAAATAAATTACCAAACAATTGATAAACAAGAGTGCACAGAACTTGCAAAAATAAAATCTCTTCAATACCTAGGGTGCCATATATCCGAGTGGAATTTGATTAAGACTTTAGGCCAATTACCCAACCTTCAACACGTGATGATCCACGTCCGGCAGGATCTTGATTCCGATACCTCACCAATGATCTTAAATTTACTAACAACATGCCAAATCCAAGCTTCCATAATTCAAAGAGAAATTATTACGACCATTAGAAAAATTGAAAATAATTTACAGATTGTTTTTGTTGATGATTTTGAGAATATTGACGATATTTCGCCATATCTGGCGCATCCCAATGGCATTAAATCCCTTCAGGTCCTAGGAAGCGCCAGTACTGCATCTCTAAATCCGTTCTTTAATGCATTTACCGGAAATTTTAGTTCGATCCAAGAGTTAGATTTATCCAAAATGTTCGCATTTGGTGAACGAGTGCGTTTTGGAGATATCTCGAAAGTGACAGAAATTCAATCTATTAGGACACTGAAATGCTGTCTATCAGATATAACTGGCATTGAAAAATTGGCCGACAAGAATAATCTGAAGGAGTTGCAAATACAATATTCTGGTAAAGGAAAATTTTCCGAATTTTTTAAAAAATTGGCTGAGAAAAATATAATTCAATATATTCACATTCAAAAACTGGATTCCGAGGAGGTTACACATATTTCCCGAATAAGGTCGTTGAAAAAACTAGAGTGTCACTTTACCGACCCAGAAGATCTTCCTTCCTTGTCAGAATTAGCTAACTCAAATATTGAGGAATTAAAGTTCAGGGTTCCAAAATCAAGTAATTTTATACAAAAAGTTTTGGCTTCATTTGCCTTAAATTGCCAAACTAGACTTCAGCACCTGGATGTGTGCAATCTTGACATGACTGAAAATTCTGAGATTACACAAATTAAAGGTCTAAAAAGTCTAGTTTTTCAAAATAATACTTTCAACATTTTGGAGCTTAAATCAATGCCCACTCTTCAGAAATTAAAAGTAGGTGACAAAATAGGCTTGGCCGACTGTAAATACATTGCTGAACTTGAACATTTGGAGTCCTTACATTGTTCTTTGCTTAATGAGCCGGGCATTCAAGTTTTAGCAAGTATCAAAAATCTTAAAAAATTAAATATTAGTTATTCAAAGGGTTCGCTGGCTGAACTTTTTCGCGCTTTTGCCCATCAAAAAGATTCAAAGTTACTGGAACTCCATACACCAATTATTTGTTCTGATGAGATCAACGAAATATCTCAAATTAAATCATTAGAAACACTAAGTCTCGATTACAAAATCACATGTAACAATTTATCAGATCTTGGGCAACTAAAAGAACTTAAAACATTGTGTATTTCTGAACATAAGGTTCACGAGAAATCATCGTTATATCGATTTAATGATATAATTGATAAATGCAGAATTGATAGTAATTGCGTGCTGCAGATTTTTCGAACTTGTCAAAAACTCGATGGCGTCACATTGGATTTTGCTTTTAAAGGTGGAGTGGCGACAAACTTTGTAAGCGAAGTTAACTCCATTTTGAAATGTGTGAGGAATCCAGCACTTCAGAGACCATTAAAACTTAATTTAATTCAGCAAAGCGAATTCCCTAAATTTCATGTAAGTAATACAAATAATAATTAATTATTGTTTAAAATCAAAAATGTTTTTCCTGCAGGTTGAAGCCACTGATGACGCTTACTTGGACATCTCCTATTCATATGAAACAAATGATCAGACTTATGAAGCTAATTTCTTTTCCGAGGGTCCAGAATCCGATGACAGTACCATGTTTGAACCCCCTCAGTTCTGAAAAAATATGAAATAGAGGATAACAAAAGACCTAAACCGAAAAAGATTTAGAAATTCCATTTTTTATAAATTTACATTTTATATTAACTTTAAAGAATAACATGTGTTACATGTACATTAGGGCGGTTTTTTATAAGGAATTTTTATCTCACCCTTTTAAACACAAGATATTTGTGCAAAATAGCTTAAATAAAAATCCAAAAAATTTTAAATTAAGTGTAAGGGCTTGCGCAATGGTCTCAAAGTTTCCAAAAAGATTACTCATACGGCACGTAAGCCAGTATGAGTTTTGGGTAGGCAAATCTTTTCCCATATCTAGACTTGTCAAATATTTGATTTCGTTCAAAATCGTTAACAAAATGGAGAGCATTTTTTTTTTGGTTGGAAAGCTGAATCTGAATTCAAATCTGAATGCAATATCAATCAAAGCGCCAGGAGGCATTCACCAGGCAAGGTGGATGGCCAGAGCCATTTATTCCATGAAAATACTTATGTTTCAAAGGCAATTTAACATTAGCAACGACGAAAAATAGCTCTGGAAGACATTTGTGTGTTTGTCGTAACGGAATATTTAAAAGTGTGGTTTACCTGCACTATTGCTAAGAAATCGCCGTATCTAGATTTTCAGTTCATCGGACGAATGAAAAACTATGAAAAAATAGATCAAACTGCGTCTTCAGTAGCATTAAAAAAAATGTTAAACCATTTATGGTACCTTACAGATGAAACGGCTTCGCTTGCGTTTTTTGACGAAGAAAAAAAGCTTGCTTAAAAGCTTGCAAAATGAAGAGAACTCGTGTGAAGAAAAGAATAACACGGCTTAACAAGAAAAGACAAACGGATGTGGCTTGATGGACTCTCCTGGTGATGCTCATCAAGAATATATATACTTTATAGGGTCGGAAATGTCTCCTTCACTGCGTTGCAAACTTTTGACTGAAATTATAATACCCTATACCCTATAATGCAAGGATATAACAAAATAAATAAATTTATGAATTTTCGGTACAATTATATTGCTTTGTTTGTTTTTAATTATTGTTACCACTGTAATTTAAATTGTTAAGCCTGCCGCCAAATCGAATTGCCACTTATGCGAATATGGCACTACCAACATATAGTATGGCAGCTCTACTTGAGAAAAAACCAGCGAAGCAGCAACACAAAGTTTTTTAAAGCTCTCTATTATAATTTAAAATTTGATTTAAATAAAGACCGCTACATAAATTTGTCAACCCTAAACTGTTTCACCTATTATTAACATCGGTGCCACGATACACTCTTAAGAGGGTCACCCCATGTTACTTCTTTTAAAAATATGTTTATAGCTTTTTATCCACATATTCTGCATATGGCTTGGGGGCGATAAATTAAAAAAAAATTTTTTGATTCTGTGGTGCGACTCCCTTAAATATTGGAACTTATATTGTCATAGCAATTTTATTTTTCTTTACCCGTTTGTAAAGGTGACAAGGTTACCTTTATGTTTAGACTCAATAAGTAATGACAAGTCTACGCCACCTATATGAAATTAAAATTTTTGATCAAGGGCAACAGTACGTATGAGTGATAAACTTAAAGGTCAATGCGCAAGCACTAAATCGCATTTTTTTAAACTTTTTCTTTTTGGTATGTCTTAAATGCACCAATGCGCAAAGTATAAGGGGGTGAGAGTAGGACCTTAGAATTTTTCATACAAAAAAAAACCACCCTAATGTACATATATTTCTCACCTTGAAGCATTTTTAATGCTTTTTAAATTTACCTCGATGGATGCTATATTTTTGGATTCTTTATGAATTCCGAAGTTAAACTGCGTTTTCCAAAAAGTTCCCCGACGCAAGGATTCTTAGCAAAAGGACCTCAAAGTTCCAAAAATGCTGAAATTGGTCCACTTTCAGGAGCTCTCAGAGGCAAACGGATTCATGGTTTGATTCGATGTTAAAGTTTTTTAAAAGATACATTCTTTATCTTTCGAACCCCATACTTAGAATAATTTTAGGAATTTTATTAAGAGAGAAACAAATTTTAGAAAACATAGTCAAAAAACATAAAAGCATACAGCTGCGGTCAAGATAGTAGTTTTTTGTTTTTAAAGGGTTGTTGTTGTAATTTTTCTTCTCCTGGTAATATTGTATTGATTATAATTGTACTATTAGACTAATTGGATAAGAAAAGAAAACTTGAACTGCGTTCCCCAAAATATCTGAGAAAAAGGACCTTAAATTTGGAAAAATTCAGTAATTTGCCAACAAGCAAACTAACTATGTTTATTTTTCTGTCAAAGCATTTTAAAAATGTCACTGTGTGCGTGTGTATCTTTTGAGTTTCATACTCAAAATAATGTTAAGTTTTTTTTTAAGAGTCCTGATATATATAATTTATGTGGTCGGAAACGTCTCCTGCACTGTGTAAAGGGTATTAAAACCATGCAGGCAAAAATTAAAAACGATTTAGTACGTATCTCGGCTATGCAAGGAGAGTGTCCTCGCTATGCGTATGACCAATCGAAAAGGTGGCAACGCATATATTCCTGATCAGCTGATCCTCAAGCGGCGTTTCAGTTCAACTACATGTATTCATCAGCTGATCTAATATTTTGCAGAGCGTGTCTTTTTGTTTTGAGCGCAGTTTTACTTATTTTACTCATTCAAGTGTGGTTTTCGTGTGACGTGCTAAATCAGTTAGACATTAATTAAAGTGGAAAACAATAGCCTTCTTGCTGTCTACTATACCGATTTTGTGTGAGTTGGTGTCAAAGCCGGTGATAAGAAATCGAGTAAAAGGAAGCAACAGGTATGTATGTATGTATATAAGTATACATACATTCTAGGCAAACGAATCTCTCAGTATTAAGGCTTACCTGCTATTCAATCATCAACAATTCACCGGAATTTCATCAAAAAACCTTGGCATTTTGAATTTTCGAAAGATTTCTGAATTACAAAGTAAATATTATAAAAAACTAAGGACTTATTATATAGCTGATAGATAGTTGAGAGTGTCAACTTGAGACACTCAACTATAAAGTTCGATCTGTTTTGTTTTTTTTTTTAATTTTTTTTAAATTATAGGATGTTAAAAAATTGGAAATATAACCTTACTAATAAAGTTTAAAAATACTAATAAAGTTTATCCTGATTTTTGACAGACTACAATAATTTTTTGCACCCACTTGAACTATTGTTTCAACAATTAGAGCTTGAAATTCGATTTTCTGCTTGTTTAAGTGAAAGTAAACATTCGTTTGGAAATTCATGATTTAACGATCAACATAAAAAATGGACGACAACAGAGTGTCTATGCTCAACGGCTACTGTGTCTTGGAGATAATGAATTACGTAATTGCTAATTGCAAGGCTAAGCCCAAAAGTGACGAGGATGATCCTGTGGATTATGATGACTTAATAAACTTTGTGTTGGCCCATAAAGTTTTCTTCGGACTGCTTGAGGATCACCACAAACGCCTTTACAAGGAACTTGAGTTCGGACTTGTGTGCAAGATAACAAAGCTAATGATAGATCATCGGATCAATAAAAATTCAAGGAAAGGAAATGACATTTTCTGGAGATCTTACCTACAATTAAACACAAAAAAGAGTCCTTTTAGTGTTGAACTGTCTATTGACCGTGCTAAGGTAAACATTTTCCTAAAAGGTAAGTCATTTTATTCATATGCGATTATGTTTCAGTTAACAATCGTAGAAGACAAAAACTTTGTGATCTATGAAGGGCTTATGTACATGCAACCTTAGTCACCATAATGGTTAAGACCAATTAAAATGTATTCTAAAACTTTTTTTATTTTAAGGCAATTCATCAGACTGCAAAAAAACAGAGAAGCTAAAGATAAACTTCATCGTCACTGCGGACGCATTAGCTGACATACTACGCTCAAACAGTCATTTGAGTAAATTGGATCTCAAGAGCACAAAAGTACATGGCAATCTTTCTAATATCATACCCCATTGCGTTAATCTCGAGGAGCTAAGAATTACTTTGGATGCAAGACATGATGCTGCCCAATTTGCACCGTTGGCAAAAATGCCAAATTTAAAGAAACTTAGTATTACTGGCTTATTCAAAAAACGTGTTGAAACAACATGCTTTAAAAATGTTATAAAATGGCAGAGACCTAAGGGTTTTCAACCTTTGACATTGACCCTTGAAGATTATCTAGATAGAGATTATTATGAATCTGATTCAGATCTAAATCCGGATATGGATTTTATTACGATTGCAATAATTCCCTCATTAAGAAATTTCACGATAATCAATTATGACTTTATTGCCGTTTATGATATTAACGAAACAACGAAAGACTGCAATTTGGTGGAGGAATCTCTCGTAAACTTTACATTAGATTTAGGTGTTAATATTCAGTTTGACAGGAATAAAGGAGAACTGGAATTAATTATATTTGAAGGGGCAGACACATGTGAAATGGGAATTTTCAGTCAATTACCTAATCTTCAACGCGGGATATTCGATACCGAAAACGATATAAATTGTGATACTACAATTATGTCTTTCAGTCTGCTAACAGCATTTGAGGTGGAAGCTGCTATAATTGGATTCGGATTTCGAATTACCTTTAGAAAAAAGGAAAAGCATTTACAGATCATAATATATAATGGTAATAATATCGATATTCCGCAATATCTAGTACAAATTGATGGCGTTAACTCCTTACAAATTCTGGGACACCCCAATACTGGAACCCTTAATACGTTTTTCGAAGCTCTCGCTAGCAATTTAAATTCGATCCAAGAATTGGAATTACCCGAATCAAAAGAAATTTCTTTTAAAGAAATCTCAAAAGTGTGTGAAATTCAAAGCATTAGAAAACTAAAATGTTCCGTAGCAGATACAGATGGTATTCAGAAATTGGCCAACCTAAGTAAACTGGTGGATTTGGAAATATACATTACTGAAAAGGGATCTCTTTCTGAGCTTTTCACGAAACTAGCCGAAAAGAACATAATTCAGTGTATTCGTTGTGGAAAACTCAGTACCGAAGAGGTTCTAAAAGTTACCCAAATAAGGTCCCTAAAGAAATTGGTATACCGTCTTTCCTATACGGGAGAACTTCATTCGCTGTCAGAACTAGCTAAATCGAATATTGTAGACTTAACTTTTATACATCGAAAGCCCAATTTTGGCTATTCTACAGATACTGTAATTAAAGTTCTTTACACGGATATTCCACTGCAACAACTTAGCTTTGCAGAAACAGTTGATGTTACCAAGATAAAATCTCTGAAAGAGTTAAGGTGCGGATTCTTACATCCACAGAGTGTGGAAATTTTGGATAGATTACCACACCTGGAAACCTTAACTATCGGCTATATGAATACATTTGATAATACTTGTTTACAATTTCCATTGAGGATCTTAGCACTGAAATCGCCAGCAACTCTTAAAACATTGGATTTGAACAACGTAATTGGCTATAGCGAATGCAAATATTTAACTGAAATTGAAACATTAGAATCTTTAAAATGCTCATTGCGCAATGAGCCAGGCATTCAAGTTTTAGTCAATATAAAAAATCTAAAAGAATTAATTATTAAAGACCATTTAGGTTCACTCAGTGAACTTTTCGGTGCTTTTGCTCATAGAACTGAGTCAAAATTACAGGAGCTCCATACACACATTAATTGTTCTGAGGAGATCCGTGAAATATCGCAAATTAAATCATTAATAACACTGAAAATTTTTAACGAAAGCAAATGTGATAACTTATCAGAACTATGTCGACTAAATGAGCTAAAATCATTGAGTATAGTGGATAAATGTAATTCCGAAATAGATAGCGAAAGTGTCTTGCCAATTTTTCAGTCCTGTCAAAAGCTCGAATGTGTCTCATTGGATTTTCGAGGAGGAGTTTCCCTAAACTTTGTCAAGGAAGTAAACGCCATTCTAAAATCAATAAGAGATCCCACTCTTCATAAACCTTTGAAACTCACCATATTTAATGAATCCGTATACCCCGAAATCCCTGTAAGTATAACAAGCAGAGGTGACACAAAATTTATTCAGTAATTAAAAATTGTATTCTTACAGGTAGAAGACTTTGATAAGGAACATTTGAACGTGTTATTTTTATACGAAAAATTCCATTACTCTGAAACAGAATCTGAAGAGGAGGTTTCAGAATGCTCTGAAACCTTTGATTATGATTGGTGGTAACTAGTTTTAGAACAAGTTATAATTATTTGAAAGAAAATATTTAATCTCAATGCTTAATGGTATCAGATAATATATAAATGCACATGTATGCTTTGTGATTCGGAATTAAAAACTTTGTCTTATTTTGTATACCTAATAAATTTATTATTATAGTTTTTTAAAATATTTATTTTTCAAAACTTTACATTACATTAAAAATCAAACTGTTTTGATATATTGAACAATATAAACTTATTTTTTGAATATTATGCATTATGGCTTTAAAACATCTGACAATTTTCGAGCTGATTGTTATTCCGACGACATCCGAAGGCCTTTTCGAAGGGTTCGAACCCGTCCAGAACTTGCTGCAAACGCACCTGGTCATCTTCGTACTCAACGTTGAAGTCGCTATTGCCGCAAAAGAACTGCCCCAAATTGAGGAAGAATATCTTTTCCGCTGGCAAATGGGTGAAGTCAAATTGGTTTCGGTTCCTGGCATTTTTAGAGTACGCAGAGTACGTGAGCTCCAAACCGGCATTATCGGCAATGCGTTCATTGATATTTCGTTTTCCATCGCGATGCAAGCAATCGACGACTTCATCGTACCTCTGTGAGTTGAATTTGCGATCGTTACCACTTCTGTCGATCTTAATGCCCTCGGTGTCGAAGGCGTTCATTAACTGGTGGGCCAGGGTGAATCCCATCAGGCTGTACTTAAACACAAGGTCGCTTTCGGGAAGGAAAAATGGTTCCTGAAGCAGTCCAAGTGGCAGGATAATCACGTTCTGACGCATCACATAGTACGAGGTGGAGGCTATGGCCCTCTTCGGTTCGGGTAGGTCGAAATATTCCTCTCGTCTCGTTGTCATTTTATGGATTTGTTCAGTAATCTTTTGAGTGCGAAACTGCAGCAACTTGAGATGCTCACGATGGTAATCAAGGTCTCCAGAGGATAACTCCAAATCAGCGTAGTGCCGACTGACGAAATTGCGCAGATCATCGGTTTTCGGAAGGTTTCCAATGTTCAGGATAATATCCTTTGCCTTTCCATCGACAAATCTCTTCTGCGAAGCGGTTAACTCAAGGCGATTGTGTTCGACTTGCAGAAGGAATTCGCGGCGCAATTGTTCAAAGATATCATTAATTTCCTGGTTGAAGGTCTTGAAGGTTGAGGTTTCCAGAAAACGCTCCTTATAGATCCAACTCGCAGCCAAATTCATGTTCCGGCGTATATTAGCAATACACTCGATTGGCTCTTTGCCGTCAGTCGTTTCCTCTAGTAGGTACATTCCAAATCGCATCATTATATAGCTGGCAACAACCTGGGCTTCGTCCTGTTTGTCCATCAGCTCCTTGAGGGCGGTGAAGTATCTAAAGTCCTGGGCCAATAATCGAAACTGCGGTGTAATACGACGGCCTAGTATTATCTCAAGGAAAGGCTGCAAGTTGATTCCCGTTTTTGCTTCCAACTGTTGCAAACTGATAAGACCACTTTCAATATAGTCGAAACCTTCGGTCAAAATTTTCACCGACAATTCCAGCTTTCGTATTTTTCGCGCTAGAGCTACAACATCACTTGAGGGAACCTTCATGATGTAGAGAAGGGCTAGTGTTTCCACAAAACTGTTCAGACGTTGTGATTCCTCTGCAAAACTAGGCTTGCTAAGATCGAATCGAAATTCACTGGCGTTATGGGGATTCGAAACGATATCTATGCTGAGAAAAACATTGGTAAGCCCATAGCGGTGCAGATGGGCGAGGGTCTCCAGCCAGTTGAAAGGTTTCTGGGGCCAAGAACTTCCATTCGGGGTGAATTGGGGCCAGGTGAGTCCTTCGCCAGGGGGAGCCAGTTTGAGGTACTCCACTAAACTGCTCATATTTCGCGGAACTTCACTGCAAGTGCGGTAGAAACGAAGGACCTTGGCCTCCACACTGGACTCATTAAAGTCCCGCGACTGAGAATTCTCCTCCAGTTCCCCCATCAGCTTTACTAGCTTCTGGTTCATCTGGTGGTCCAGCATTTGGATGATATCGTAAAACGAGTCGTCGATGTGCCGCATGTTGTACTTGCCGCACGCAAAATTGTAGAATGTTCCACAGGCACTGGCCTCCTCGTCTACATGGCTAAGGATATGATTTAGCAGTCTTGTATTGGAACTGCTCGCCACAAGTGGGACAAACAAAAGGCAGATAATCCACATAATAGCTGCGAGCACACTGAACCCCGAGAAGACATGCATCTAGTAATGAGTGGCCAGCGAATCTCGCCTTATCAGTTAGGCACTATATGGTACTCAACCCCACCTACAGCTGATAACTCAGGGAACAGGCCCCAAGACAGTTTGTATTGAGGTTGGGCAAGAATATATACAAAACAGACTTGCAGTAGCAGTCGCTTCAAAGTCCAGAACGATGTGATTCTCCTATATCCAAAGTATTAGAATTTTTTTATTATTATCCGTTATCAGAAAAATGCTACTGTTGAACTCATTCACAGCAGTAAGGTCTTATAAGCATCGAATAATTTGTAATTGATTACAAATATTTTGTAATTTGTACCAAGCAAAGAACTTAAAAAGTGTATTTTTAATTTAAAACCAAAATCAATCTACAAACCAGGTCAGAAAATGGATGAGAACGGAGAGTTTGTGCTCAACGGCGACTGCCTCTTGGAGATAATGAATTACGTAATTGCTAATTGCAAGGCAAAGCCCAAACGTTACAAGGGGGATCCTGTTGATTATGATGACTTGATACACTTTGTGTTGGCCCATGAATTTTTCGTCGAATTGCTTAAGGATCATCACAAACGGCTTTACGAGGATCTTGAGATGACCCTTGTGCGCAGGATAACGAAGCTGCTGATAGATCTTCCAGTTAATAAACAGTCAAACGTGGGAAATTCATTTTTTTTGGAGATCCTACTTGCAATCCATTAATGAAAGAAGACCTTTCAGTGTTGAACTAACTTTTGTCTACGATCACGTAGAAATAAGTATAAACGGTAAATACATTTCTTGTTAACTATTTTGTAAATATTATTTTTTATTGATAAATATTTATATTTTAAGAGAAATCACTCGACAGCGCGAAATATGAGACTTTGGACTTAAACGTTATTTCTGCAGAAGCATTAGCTGACACATTTCGGTTAAACCGACATTTGAGGAAATTGACATTTGAATATGTTAAGACATATAAAAGTCTTTCCGAAATAATTCCCCTTTGCGCTAATCTCGAGGAATTAGAAATTATGATGCAAGAAGAACACGATGCTGCCCAATTTGCAATGTTGGCAAAAATTCCAAGTTTAAAGAAAATTATTATATGGGGCTTATTTGAAAGCAAAGCGGAATTAATACTTTTTAAGGATTTTAGAAATTGGTACAGACCTACAGGCCTTTAACCTTTAACATTGACCATACAAGATTTTGAAAACGAAATATGTCGGACTCCTATTACGCTTGCAATGATTGACTCATTAAGCTACTTGTGTGTAGGCGAAAAAAATGAGAACGACGATGAAATTATTAAAGCAGAATACGACATTTGCGAAATACCCGGAAAAAACTATACAATAGAGGAATCTCTCGAAACCATATCTTTAGATGCATTTGTCAAAATTGAGTTTGCCAGGAAAAAAGCTGAATTGAGATTAAAGATTCGTCAACAGTCGGACATACGTCAAATAGGCTACTTATCAAAGCTGCCCAATCTAAGGAGATTGGTTATACGCAGTACTTATGAAGATTATGATGATGTGTACCCACTTGCAAAGTTCCTCCGATTTATGGTCCTAAATGCTCATGCTCTAAAATCTTGTCATATACCGTATGGATCAATTGGTGAAATGGAGTGCATCGAACTTTCAAAAATAGAATCACTACGATATCTGTGCTGCTATTTGTCTAGGTGGTGTCCGATGAAGGCTTTAAGTCAATTGCCCAACCTTCAACACGTCTTAATTCATATCGACTGGTATAATTCTATAAAATTCAAAACTTCTATGATGATCTGTAATCTACTAACAGCATGTCAGGTGCAAGCTATAATAATTGGAAGTGCATTCAGAATAACCTATAGGAAATATGAAAAGAACTTACAGATTTATATGTCACACGATTGTGATCCTGATATTTTGACATCTTGCAACTTGATGGCGTTAACACTCTTCAAATCATGGGACGACCGAATACGGCATTCCTTAATACACTTTTCCAAGATTATGCTGGCAGTTTGTGTAAAATCCAAGAATTGGATTTATCCAAGTTGGAACCAATTCGTTTTGAAGATATCTCGAAAGTGTGTGAAATTCAAAGCATTAGGAAACTAAAATGCTCCGTATCACACACATCTGGAATTCAAAAATTGTCCGACCTTAACAAACTGGAGGATTTGGAAATATACATTACTGGAAATGGATCCCTTTCGGAGCTTTTCACGAAACTAGCTGAAAAGAACTTAATTCAGTGTATTCGTTGTGGCAAACTCAGTCCCGAAGAAATTATAGCGCTTTCCCAAATAAGGTCCCTTAAAAAAGTTGGTCTGCAGTCTTTCAGACACGGAAGATCTTCAATCGTTGACAGAACTGGCTAACTCGAGTATTGAAGACTTAATTGTCTTACATCAAAACCCTTATCACATCGATTCCATTTCTGTGTTTTCGTCAGACTCTATGACCAAACGTCGTCACTTGAATATTCAGCTTAAGCAACTTAGCTTTAATGAAACCATTAGTGTTATTCAGATAAAAGGTCTAAAGAAATTAAGTGCCGGATTTTTAAATTCGGAGTGCGCTGAAATATTGGATAGATTATCGCACCTGGAGGATTTAAGTATTGGCATTATACAAAAACCGGAAATAAATCACCGTCAACTCTAAAAAATCTGGATTTATATAACTTTATAGGCATGGCCGAATGCAAATGTTTGACTGAAATTGGAGTCTCTAAAATGCTCACTGCGCAATGAGCCGGGCATTAACGTTTTGGCGAATATAAAAAATCTAAAAGAATTATTTATTGATTACCATTGGGGTTCGCTCAGTGAACTTTTCCGGGCTTTTGCCCTAAAAAGTGAGTCAAAATTACAGGAACTCCATACACAGATTATTTGTTCTGAGGAGATACGTGATATATCGCAAATCAAGTCATTAATAACACTACACATCTATTACGAAAGCGAATGTGATAACTTATCAGACCTAGGTAGACTACATGAGCTAAAATCATTGAGTATAGTGGATAAATGTAATTCCGAAATAGACAGCGATAATGTTTTGCCAATTTTTCAGTCCTGTCAAAAGCTCGAATGTGTCTCATTGGATTTTCAACGAGAAGTTTCGATAAACTTTGTAAAGGAAGTAAACTACATTCTGAAATCAATAAGGGATCCCACTCGTCTGAAACCATTGAAACTCACCATATTTAGTCGATCCGTATTCCCGGAATTTCACGTAAGTTAATTATAACAACATTTGGTTCGTAATTAAAAATTTTATTTTTGCAGGTAGAAGACATTGATGAGGCTAACTTGAACGTGATCTATTTATACGAAAAATTCCATTACACTGAAGAAGATTTCATTGAAGATTTCTTAGATAACTCTGACTCCTTTGATTACTAATAAGTCTCTTTTCCAATAAAATATAATAATTCAAAAGGAAATACTCCAACTTATTTTTCTGTTTTTGAAAATATGGATGAGGCACGCATTTTGATACCTGTGCACTTTAAAAATAAAAAAAGTATAGAAATGCAAATTTTGGTATACTGAGGGCTGCTTTTTCCAGTATTCATATGCTGCTGATAACATACTGAACGATAAAACGTACCAATCTGTCTTTCTCTATACAAATTGTAGCCCGAGTCACTTTGTTGTAACTTTTTTTATCCAATTAGTCTAATAGTACAATTATAATCAATACAATATTACCAGGAGAAGACAAATTACAAAAATTAACACTATTACTATTTTGACCGCAGCTGTATGCTTTTGATTTTTTTTACTATAATTTCTTGAATTTGTTTTTCCCTTAAAAAAAATTCTTAAATTATTCTAGGTATGGGGTTTGAAAGACAAAGAGTGTATCTTTTAAAAACTTTAACATCAACACAAACCATGAATCAGTTTGCCTGTGATACTTCCGGAAAGTTGGCCAATTTCAGCATTTTTCGAACTTTATAGCATCCAAAGAGGTAAATTTTTGATGTTGCATAGTTTTAGACTAACATTTTGATTGCAGTTCACAAAATCCACATATTAAGTTCACACTTATTACTAAAGTGCCAAATTTTTTTATTCATCTTTTAAACCGATTTTAATTCTTACAATGAAAATTTTGTACACATGGCGTATGATTATTTTTATAAAGTATACGCACAGTTGAAACAACCACCATTTCTTCTCGTTTAAATTTCACAGTATAAAGTAGAAAACTCAACGAATTTTACATTTACTCACTGACGAAAGGTGGTTGCTTTCCAGCTCACTGACAATTTCTGAGCTAATAGTAGATATAATACGGTTAGCTTTTTATACCCGTTACTCGTAGAGTAAAAGGGTATATTGTATTCGTGCAAAAGTATGTAACAGGGAGAAGGAAGCGTTTCCGACCCCATAAAGTATATATATTCTTGATCAGGATCACTAGCCGAGTCGATCTAGCCATGTCCGTCTGTCCGTCTGTCCGTCTGTCCGTCTGTCTGTCCGTCTGTCCGTCTGTCTGTCTGTATGAACGCTGAGATCTCAGAAACTATAAAAGCTAGAAGATTGGCATTTTGCATGCAGATTTTAGGAGTTCCTACGCAGCGCAAGTTTGTTTCAAAATGGTGCCACGCCCCCTCTAACGCCCACAATCGCTTATATACGATTTTAAAAAGTTTAATATTTTGGAAAAGTAAAAATGCAGTTTTATTGTGTTTATCAATACCTATCGAAATGTAGAAGAAATTTTTCAAATCGGACCATTCGTTAAAAAGTTATGCGTGATCAACGTTTTCTATCTCTATCTCCATCTCCCTCGCACTCCCTTTACCTGAGTAACGGGTATCTGATAGTCGGGGAATCCGACTATAACGTTCCCTCTTGTTTTCGTTCGATTAAGTCGTTGTAATTTTATTCGAATATTTTCGGTTTAACAATTTAATTTAAATTAAATGTAATATTTTAATAACTATTATTTCAAAACAACGAATGTATT